ATGTCGACCCCAAAACGGTATATCAAGAAGCCTCAGATACCCCTCGTCCTATTCGGTGGAAGGATGACCAGAATAGAGTCAATAAAAGGCAGAAGCCCAGAAATAGCGGGAAGGAGCGGAACCAGAATGGATTGGCCATAGATGGGGGTTCCGTCATTAGTGGCACAGACCTTCCACAGTCGATGTCTGCTGGAAGCCGGGACATTGTCCTTAGCTCAGAGCAAGTAGTGGCTAGACATGCGCCCTCTGATGGCCGCCAACCCTCAGGAATGGAGTTGGCTGTCGGCCAGTGGATCGCACCGGTCGATCACAGAACCCGCGAATCATTCGATTACTTCGCTAATTATGTCGCGCCTGTCATGGTTGTCCTCGACATATCGAATGGCTACCGGGACATCATTCTTCCCATGGCTTTGGAAGATAATCTTCTACAGCAGGCTGTTGCCGTTGTTGCTGCACAACATCTTGGCTCCCGACATCCCTCATGTCGAGCGGCAACCGAGTCCCGCCGATCGGCAATAATTTCCCGGCTACGACGTGATTCCCAGGTTGGCTCACCGGATCTCGTCTTCAATCCATCGACTTGGGCAACCCTGATTGTGCTACTTGTTGGGGAAACCGTTACCGGCAGCTCGGAGTATAGCCACCTGTTACGGACTCTCCTCACTCTGGCCCAAAACATGAAATCTGTCGGAAATACCGAGCTGAAAGATTTTCTAACAAAGCAGACGGACATGTTTGCATTCCTAGGACAGCCACTGTTGAACGCAGATCTAGGCACCGAGAGACTTAAAAACCCTGTTGACCCAAGTGTCTGGATGGCTTCGAGAGTGAATGCTGATTCGCACCACCACAGAACATTGTCACTTGTGAAACAAGTCTTCTCAAAAGGCGCACAAATATATCTTCAACGTGCCACTGCGAATCAAAGTTCCTGGCATATGTTGGAGGAGCTGCGCCAGCTTCTTTGTCAGATGAGCCCCACGGAGCCGGGTGCTCATGGATTTGTATGGTCATGTTTCATTGCAGCAGCGGATAGCGTGGATCCCGAGCACAGAGCTTTTTTCAGCAACTATCTGAAAGGGGTATATTCACGAACAATGTTCGACAATATTCCCAAAGCTCTTGACGCCTTGCCTGCCATCTGGGATCTGCAGGGTTCTGCAAAGTGGACCGGAAACCTGCCCCGTCTGTCACCTATCCTGATCATGTGATCAATACATCCCATATGGGGTTTTAATCACCACTGCCATGAGAATTCTCGGTTCACCTCCAATCTCAAGCTCGTAGCCGCTGTAACAGCCCTTGTTAGCAGTGGTGATGTTGACATGTCTCCGAGTTGGCTACAGCGTCTGCTGAAGTGGACTTTGTTGTGACTTTCAACACTTCGACATCGACTAACAAGCGCCAGTCCGGCGACTTCTCCAAGTATGAGGTGCTATGAATGGGACATTCTGTTTTCATAAAGCTGATCAGAGCTATATGAGCACCATTGACTGCCGTCACGAGCTTATTACGGATGCAGTCACCGGTCCGAAGTCACTAGCCGTCCTGGTATGGTGTCACAAAGGAGGTGACTGTCGGGTGACACCGCAGCTAGCCATATTTCCGAGATGCACGCGTTTCCCCGGCGCACAGATTGCACAAGGATGTAGCCCTAATAGGCCAGGTCCCAATATCGACTAGTCGACAGTTCAATTGGACTATACAAGCCTTTATCGCGATGGTATCCTTCCATGTCACTGTTTCTGCATGTGTTCGTGGGATGAAGTGTCGCACATTCTGGACAACACACAAGACAGTTAGTGAAGTCACCAACTCTGGCAGAGCAGCTATGTGTAGAACGTTGGGAATAAAAATCTACGCCACCACTACTTAGAACTCTTTTCCCCCGCAGAGGAGATCCGACCAATACACATTGTAATTTTCAAGCCTGAGAGCTTTGTAGTGTCGGGCCATTAGAAGAATGGAAAACTTATGAGACCGTCAGATCATACACTGTGATAAGTGAAATACTTGCATCTGGTACATACGTAATGTGCGCTATACTCTGGGAATGCTTATGGATAGCGATTTCGGACATACACAGGGAATTTCAGCGATGAGCTGGAACGCAAATCATCGACGAGAGATTGCGCAAGGCTGCGGACAATCAGGGTTGTCACTGCTGCCGATATTCACTGAGCATCCGGATTGATGTGTTTGGAAGGCTCCCTAATTAGCAAAGTAGCAAAGCAACCAACACTTGCATGTGATAACAAGCGGTTGACAGGAATAGAAACATTTACCTCTGGCAATCGAATGGTCCTGAATTGAAGCTCGGTAGTCTCCGTGAAAAGGACATAGTGAGTTGTCAAAAATTCAGGCTTGGGACGAACTACAATTTACAAGAAATAGGAAACCCCCGGTGGATCTCTTCTCGCTACAATGGCGAGAAGGGTATAAATACCAGCCAAGATCCACTGAGATAAGTGCCTCTACCAGCAATTTCACCTGGAAAATGGCGCATTAATGGGCCCAGAGATGGAAGGGACTCCAGGCTCTACCTTCTATCTGAACCTTATGAACAGTAGTTCATTATGAAAGTATATAATCTGATACAACCCTATAATGCATGGCCTTGCCGATCTCTGTACGAATATCTCGACACCACCGCCTAATGGGTGGGCTGGATAGCCACAGCTACTGATCATCACGAAGGCCGAGCTGATATTATCCCCTCTATCCTTTCCTCTACAACAATATATGCGGCTTCCCATTCCACGGATGGAAGTCACTACTGCCATTCTATGAGAAGGGCCGACATGTATATCCGTTGTAGTTGGTCTCATCTGGTACCCTTTTCATGCATTGCTTCAACTATGAGTTCCTTGCCCTTCTGTGTCGGGTGCGACCAAGGGTCAGGGTCTACAGGGAGTGAGACAAGAGACTGTGTGCAATGATTTACATTGCATACCCATGCGGAAGCCCTCTACTCCCTTTCCGATATTATCAAACTCATGAATATAGAGTACAGCCCATCATATCCGCTGTATGCGCCAAACCTGTGGGTCCGCAATATCTCTCCCACAGGGCACTCGCCGTCAACCCGGACGGTCCAATTGTCTGTCCACTCCAAATTCAATCGCCAGACCAAAGATGCCCCCAAATATCCCTCCCTCATCTGGATATCCTCTACCATACTCGTGACAGGCTGCATATTTTGCAATTTCTGGCTTTCCCACAAAGGATTGATTATACAAATACTAAGTTGTGTCTTTTCATCCTGGAACCCTACTTGTCAAGCTGCTATCCTGAAACCCTTTCATCACAGCAATCCTTTAAACTATGTTGCCAACTCTACGTCTCTTGGGACTGTCAAATATCTAACATGTCTGTCAGCCTCAGAACATTGGCTGTGCACACACTGGCTCGCTTGATATCACTATTGTCACTTAGTCCTATCGTTCAGTCATCATAATAGGACGTCAACGAATCCACACATGTATTGACGCTTCATGTCCAGCAAGGGTGTCGCCTTTCCAAGTGTAACCAGCAGCACAACAGACCTCAACCTATTCCTGGAAGGAGAGGATTTAGCTGGTTATATTCTCTTTGCAATCACAGTGGTGTCTGGAGTTTGGTCACCACTTCAAAGATGTGCAAATATTCTATGATCGCAAATTCTATGGACCTACAACAAACTTTGGCTGTTGGGAACGCTCAAGGATGCAAATTTTCTCTATCATTTATGAGAGCGTATCGTGGGTGGCGAGAAGACGGCTACCAGGAAGGATAATCTCGCGCAATATCGCTTGCCGGAAGAATCATTTGTCACTCGTTATATATTAACAGACAACATATGGATTATACAAACAGCAACAGGATGCATCAAAACACTTCCTGCGTCGGTCATCCTTATATCTTGTGCTTGCATTGACCCGATTGTCTCTGAAACAAAGAACGATTATCCTTCGTTCAAGAGGATTCTACCAATGCCTTCCAATCGGTGTCTGCCTCGCCGGGGGAGCACCATGGAACAAGCCGTAAACTAGCGTATGAGAGAGCTCTTCCTGTCCGAAATAAATACTGACTATTCCCAGGGGGCTGGGGTGCCCGGAGGCAAATTGTGTACTGACTAGAATAAGATCATATGGGAAGACAACGGGATGTATGGCGGGATGGCTGCTCCCCCATTGAAGGCTCTTCCTGAGTTTAGTACACCACCTACGCTTAGGAGAAGTTTGTCGACATTCACGAGGCCAGATAATGCTCATCTATGATGGCATATTCTGGATTTTTCAGGTGCGAGATAGTACCTATCTGGGCGAATAATATAAGGGTCCATTGTTCGAATGTTGATGCAGTGGTATGGAGAAGGAACTAATGTTTAAATATCTGTCTATAAGCTACTACAGGCAGCATTGGGGTTTCTGAAACTACCTTTGCCTTAGGGTCTAACTTATGATGGTTTTTGACAACTCTAGCGATCTACTCTACAAAATACAGCATCTGTTGAACATGGTACTAAGGACACCGATGTAGTCCATAACGGTTGAACTATCAATGCACTTATGATTGGAAAACTTTCAAACAGGAAAACACAGAATAGGTCCAGATACACAAATCATAATAATAGATACATGATCATACAACTTGTCACAAGAAATCGGGTCTTTCGTATGGTACATTCACATTAAATCTATTATCTAATAAACGCATAGCTTCCCCCAAGTTCTGGTTCAAAGCTATCTCAGACAATGTCTGAACCTTGATGAGTACGTCGACACATCCACATCAGTTCGCAACTCCACAATATATATACTTAGTGATGGCCTATCAATGAGAACCAAGATATATTCTGATAGTGTCATATTGCCAAAATGGTGTAATGCCGTACGCCATGAATAGAAGAATTCTTGAAACAACGAGCTACATGGCTATATCGTAAACTCCATACTGCCTCCTGTTATTGATCGTGTTCTCTAACCGACAACCAACAAGATATTGTTCCCAGCTATCTAATAGATGCGGCCTTGCCCGTTGTTATCGCCATATCCACCATATCCACCATATTCACCACCGGGCCCCCCAAAGTCAGCGTTGTCTTGACTCGCTGTCTCCTCCTCTGATCTCTCCGTTTTGCCACCTCTCCAGGGGGCGCGGAGATTGGGAAACCCCTCATCGCCAGTAGCACTGTACATAAGGTCCTCATTGTTGAGGGTAGCCGTCCCTTCCTCTGATCTCTGCTTAAGGCTTCGTTTCCCATGGTATCTATGTGTGACACGCGAATCCTGGCCATCACCCTCATCCTCACTGTCTGTCTCGTCCCCAAAATTGACCAAAAAATCGGCGTTGTCTTGACTCGCTGTCTTCTGCTCCGATCTTTGCATCAGACTGTTACCATTGTCACGAGTAGACACGACGTGATGGCGAGGACCAGTGTAACCGTAATCGCTCTCATCATCACTATCCGTCTCGTCCCCAAGATTGACCAAAAAATCGGCGTTGTCTTTACTAGCCGTCTTCTGCTCCGATCTCCGCCCAAGTTGTCCGCCCACAGTGTCAAGCAGAAAATCAGCGTTGTCTTGACTCGCAGTCTTCTCCTCGGATCTCTGCATAAGGTTTCCGCCCTCTTGGGATGGACCCGAGGTCCCACCGGCAGCCGCTACCGCGCCATGGTCTAATTCACCAAGTCGTAACCAGTTAGCAAATCAGGCCGGAAATCTTGTTACTGGGATGCGCGAGAAGAGTGAACATACGCGGAATGCGGGGGAGCGCTGTAGCTGTGGAGGCCAGGAAGGCCGTGGCCAGGAGTCCAATGTTGTTGAAATGCATCGTATTGGTTTGATTGGGATGATAGAGGACAATGTGGGATGATGGGCCGATCAAGTCGAGAAATCAAATGAGTCTGAGCTGAAAACTCGGAAACACAAGATCGAGAGAGTCAAAGGACTTGCTGAGTCTGTTGAGAAGTCTGCTCTGTTGGAGAACCTTTCTTCTTATTTATGCATTTTCTAAACAGTATTTACTCACCTCTGCGCCCACTGTGGACGAGTTTCTCTCGCGAATCTAAGTTCAATATTTCACACCGCTATGCATTATTAGTTACATTGAACTATTGAGAGATTTGACAAACCCCCATAGATCCTCAATCGGAACCCCCGGCGATTCGAGAAGCCCCAGAGATCGACAATACTATTAGAATGAGAATCATGGACAATGTTTAAATCGTCCAGGCGCAAGGTCGCTCAATCTATGTGTGTGGATCTAAGGAATACTTTCTTCCACCTTGCTATTACTATCGGTTTTAGGCGTATAAGGTGTCCTGATAAGGTTTGAGAAAACTCTAATTAGCGTATGACGAATAGGAGTAAACACTGAGACGATCTAAATAGCTGAACCGGAGATCAAGTAACCGAGCGATTTGCCGAATCTTCACCCTAATATTGACCCACTTTGGTTGATCATGATCAAGATATGGGAAGCCCCACATACTACATTTGGTATGGCCTGCCTATTACCTATTGACAATAGTGGTTGATCTGGGATATTTCTCGCCGACCTAGCCGCAACGTGGGAGTTGTTCTCACTCCACACCGCCGGATGCGAGATTGAAGGGTACCCGCGCTTCTATTTCCCGCCTGGCCAAAACTCCTACAATTCTCCGTTATCTGTCTGCACTCTGCAGCCACAATTCCGGGAATCTACATCACGTCAAGATCAGACATCTCCCACTCAACACAAGTGGTGCTTCACTATACTTGTCAAGTCAGAACTGGTGAGTGAACTGTCACTTGCCATACGTAGGGAAAGGGAAAAAGCAACGCAAACCTTAAAGGATGATTCCTTTCTTAGTGGGCCTTGGAGATCTGTGAAAGAGTTGGACAGGCGGAGTATGGAGTTGCGCCGATCTTCACCTTCTCCCCCTCCCTCCCGCTTCTTATCCCTTTCTCTGTTGCCTTATTTTTGCTTCTTTTCTTGCTATTGTCATATAATCTCTCCATTTGATGGCGTAATGCAATTGATATCCTTTTGACTCGACAAAGTGGGAAACCAGTTATATATTGTTGTCGATCTCAAATGAAGAGAAAAGAGAGAATTCATTGTCTTTACCCCTTGAATAGCACCTTACCTGAACCACAAACCGGGAGCAGACATCATATTCCTTAGCAGCATATATGGTCATTTAAAGCAAGAAGAAGGTCGCGTTCTACACACGGACATCCTCGCTTCCAATCCCAGCATGTCTTACACTCTACTCAAAGAAGAGGAGGAGGCGGGCATCACCGTCACGCAAGATACCAGATCCCTGCCTACGTATACAAGGGAAACCAGCAGAACTAGAGCACTGTCAAAAATTGTCGCTCTCATTCTTTTAGTCGTGGCTGCCTCTTTTCTCGGTGGCCTCTTTGCCCTGCTGGGATACCGTGTGCCCACATTCGCTATTCCTTCATCATCATCATCATCATCATCATCATCTTCTTCTTCTTCTTCTTCTTCTTCCTCTCCTTCTTCAACCTCCCCCTTCTTTCCAAAAACAACACCACACAAAATCACCGAACTACAATGTGGCACCTCCCCAGCTGAGGCCCGATCCCTCGGCTGCGTACTAGACCTCCTAGCCATGAGCTGGGTACGTCCAGCCTGCTACGACAAGGAGTTGACTGAGGAGTTCCTGGCCGAGAGGAACTGGACCTGGACCACAGACCCATGGGGCAAGCATCATCTCTCCAAGTCCGAGGTGCTTGACGGTGACTGGGAGTACGTCTACGTCGACCATTGGTATCATGTGACACATTGTGCCTTCATGTGGCGGCGTATGGCTCGGGCAGTTCACGCTGGAAACTTGGATATTTTGGATAGTTATACGGCGGCCTATGACCACATCGAACATTGTGGTGATCGGCTGGTGGCTAATACGGGCGAGGAGGTGGTCGGTGTACCGGCCATTCTCAAGTATCCATCTTGTGGACCGGGGAGTCTGGGTCAGGAGCCCCCGGCGTATTGGATCTATGAGGGGGAGGTGCAGTATAATACGAAGAAGCAGGAAGGGCTTTATGCGGATCATATGAAAATGGAGGAGGAGGAGTAGGGATTCATACTATAGAATATTGAATACCCTCGAGTTTTATGGGAATGAAACTGGTGATTCGTGTACATATCTAGATCTCGAAATAACATGAAGTGAATAAAAGCTCGCAACGATAAAGCTTGATGTTTGGGTATAAAGCATATTGAGCTTCTGGACGATGTTAAGGTAGGTGAATCTCACATGGCAAATGAGCCATAAAGTACTATCCAGCTAAATATAATATGATACGGTCAGACTTTGCATCACCACACGATGATTCTGGATGATCTGTCTCATAACCCTTTCGCAGCATAGTCGGTTCCAGCAGATTTACCCGATAATACGGAAATGCTATTCCGGGATCTTAATTCTTCATTCTGATTACTCGTGAGCATTATAACTCCTGGGCAGGCGATACACCCTTCATCTATACCCTCCGCCCACAGTAGGAGCCAAGGCTTGTTTTGACTAGAGGCATGAGACCCACCGCCTTTATGACAGAGACACCTTGCTGCCCGAGGCATCCAGTCACTGCCTAAAATGCAATAGTTACCGCCTCAAGTTGGAACTATAGTTTTCAGATCATAGGCGGTGCGATTCTGCCGGATCAAAATATCCGGCCTTATTTCCAGGGCAACAAGGCTTATCTTCCACGGTAGGCGGCAGGGTGCGGGCGGCATGAGCAAAGGCTGGTTTGGCCGTAGCCCTTCTTCCCTCATCTTCGGGGTCATCTTCTATGCTAAAAGTGTATGGCCAGAATACGAATGCTTGGGATGAACAACATCGGTGTTATTCTCTCTACGCTAAATCTATAATATTTCTGACGATGAAGAAACGGATAGGTTACCCTGCACGTTTATCTGCTCTTGCATCTGCTGTTCTCTTTACCTTTTATTTGGTCGTAGGCTTGACACGTGATGAGGAGTACTGTTCGTAATGGATCCAATGTGCTCCAACTAATTGCAATAGATTTGCGGGAAAACAATGACATGATAGTATGAAAAGAATCTGTCGTTCTAGACCCCAGTCAGAGGTTCAAATTGCCGGAGAACCAGGGAGCTAAACTACTTTCGTAGATCCAGGGACGATCACCCTTTCCCCCTCTGACTCGAGCTTCACACTTCGCCTGACTGGTTTAAGCGCCTTCCGGTAAGTACGGCCAAGCATGTCTGACCATCTGTTGGGTCAGTTGCATGCCTTACCACCAGGCAGAGACCCACTTTTTTCCTATCACTTTCGACGTGTAGTACTTACTTATCTCCGGGGAGCTGGTTATCTAATCCATGATTCCACCTCCACAAAGCCGAGCGCGCACTCTCAGGGGACTGCGAAGAAGAGCCGGTCAACCTCTGTAATGTTCTGAAACCCCGCAGTTGGTGCGGCGTTCCTGACAATAAAATGTGCAAAATCAACATGGCGAAATCCCCATGTGGATCGGATGAGATCTTCGATCTAGTTCACTTGTTGTTTGTTCAATGTGATGAAACTTGCCGCCTTGGGCTAATTCAGGCGGTGTGGAGGAGACGGTCGCATTCTGCTTAGTAGGTGTCGAATTTTCGTCAGGGAACTATCAACACATGAGATCATAATCGTATGCCAAAAATTTTTTCAACGGGCGCAGCATACACTCAAATTGTTCTGGTTCCTGTTGCTGCAGCTTGGGCCGCTCCCTCCGTGACACGACGAACAATCAGTCGGCAATGTGAAAGGATAAACGTCTTGGCCAGACCCACCCCGTTTAGCTTTGGAGATGAGGCAGTGCGACCGCGTCCCATTGGCCGCAATCCATTCAGGCCGTGGGGCATATAGTACTAGTATCCAGGTCCCGGGGATACACTTTGTATCATCCAGTAGTCGCTTCTTGAGCCCTCTTGACTGAGTAGTGATATAAAATCCTTCCTCATGGCCTCTCCCGAAAATCAAACCATTGCTTCTTTTTTACTCACTGAAGATATTTCTATTTCTTTACCGCCTACACCATATCTTAATACTCTTGTCCATATAAACTCGACCCTGCAACCCGATAAACTTTTTTGTTGATATCTTCCACCATGTCGGCCCACCTAAACTCTTCTCATACTGCCACTCGACAGACCGCAAGGCCAACGGACAACAATGGAAAACGTACCATTGAGACAATTCCATGCGCTCCAAATTCTACCTCCTTTAATATCGCTCCTTCAGGCGATCTGTTGAACCAAGCCGCTCTACCTCCTCATCATCAGGCCCAGGCATACATCGACCCGAGGTATCTGAATGGTGGTCGCTTCCTCGACCTTCCGTGCCAGTACCCATGGAATGCTGAAAGCGAGTACAATATGCCGACCGCCGTGGAGAACTGGGAATTTGTGACCGCGGTTCAGCCAGGTATCGCGCCCCGGAACCAACATTACCAAGCCGGTACACGACAGGAAGCTATTCCTTGGAATAACTTCAGCGTCCCAGGAGTAATGACACCATTGAACAGACCAGACAACAGTCCTGTGGAAGGGTATATTGACTCCCCTGGCACTCCATTCATAGTCAGTAGTGAGTCCAGCTGACAAGCAAGCAGGAATACCCCTCTCCGGTGCGGCTGGGTGGATTGCACGGCCAGATCAACCTTCAATAGATGGGCAGACTTAAGCAGACACATCAAGACCATTCATGTGTTTCCTGCTTCCCATGTGTGTGAGGTCTGCGATCACACGTTCAATCGGAAGGACAACCTCGTGGAGCATCAGTTGCGGACCCATCGATTCTAATTAAATACTCGGCTTATGTC